CACCAGAGACAGAATGACATAGAAGTTAGCAACTGTACCGCCTTCAACAATGAGCTAAACCCACACCACAATAGTAACCTATAAAAAGCCACAAAATGACAAATGTAAAACAATTCAAACGAGAAAACTTATGGCCTGATTTATGTACAAAACAATAAAACAAAAAACAAGTATGATATACAGCAACAAACATCAACCACTAAATTACAAGCTCTTGACTTGGGATAGGCACATACAGAATGTAGTGGGGTTAAACTTGTTTGCTGGCACCAAACCTTTCCCCGAACCTGGGACAGTGGTGTAACAGTACCACATAAGCTCTTTTCAAGTTGATTTGGTCTGTTTCTCAGATACTATAATCAATAGGTCAATTATATTTGGTGTACAGAAGGAAAGTAAGGTGCACAAGTTGGTCTAGCTGGAATGCAACCATCTTGCAGTCCTTTCAATAGGTGCACAAGTCAGTCTACCTGATATGCAACCATCCTGTAGTCCTTTCAATAGGTGCACATGTCGGTCTACCTGATATGCAACCATCCTGCAGTTCTTTCAATAGGTGCACATGTCAGTCTAGCTAGAATGCAACCATCCTGTAGTCCTTTCAATAGGTGCACAAGTCGGTCTACCTGAAATGCAACCATCCTGCAGTCCTTTCAATAGGTGCACATGTCGGTCTAGCTGGAATGCAACCATCCTGCAGTCCATTCAATAGGTGCACAAGTCGGTCTAGCTAGAATGCAACCATCCTGTAGTCCTTTCAATAGTTTGCAGTAGTCTGCATTTTTTAATGTGCTTTTAGAAATTGAACTGAATTTTATGTATAGTTTCATTATTTCTTTTCACAAAACTCTTGCACAAAACTGTATTATCAAAATGTTTCTTTGGTTGTAGATATTGACCATATTTTCCTTGTAGTTGTTTATTGGTGACTTTTAGATTTGATATTTTGTTTTGCTTTGAGTGAAATTCTTTTTACAGAATTACAATTTCTTTGATTTAAAATTTTTTATGGAATAGCCTGGCTAAGGGCCTAATACACAGCACCATCTTCTGTTAAGAAATATGTTCACAAAATTTGGGTTTCTTCTACTTGTTTCTAAAAATTGTGTTGGAAGAAAGGTTGTTGTCTAATGATTCAGCCAAAATTCTGTGGCAGTTAAAAAATTGTAGGTAAAAACAACCAAATGAAATTTGTGAAAGTACTTTTTGGGGTTTATTTTGCAGAGTTATTCAGAACAAAAGAAAAGTAATTAAAAAAAAAAAACAGACCAGCAATTTTGCACATTTTTTCGCAACTATTTTGGCTACATTAGGATTAGATCTCATGCATGGCCCTAATCGATTGCTTTAGTCTTGCCTGCGACAAAAGTCGCAGTATGCAAGAGTTAGGTATTACTATCTGTCGGGCGGCAGCAGGGTAAACTGTTTGTGTAAAGCTTTATATTTCAGAAGATAGAAGACCTAGATGCTTCGTATCTTGTATGCAGATACATTGTGTTATGAAGTTTCCGTCTGTCATATGTCCATTGTCCTTGACCTCATTTTTATGGTTCAGCGACTTCTTGAAAAAAAAGATAGTTTATTTGTCATGTGTATTTCTCACTTATTATGAGTATTAGGATAACTATATTTGGTATATGGGTTCCTTGCAATGTCTACATGTCTGCCAGACAAGGTTCACCTGACCTTAACCTCATTTCATGGATTAGTGATCAAGGTTAAAGTTATGTGATTAGGTTTTCTCAAATACTATAAGCAGTAGGTCAACTATATGTGGTGTATGGAATGATTGTAATGGGTACATGTCTGTCTGGCAGGTATCATCTAACCTTGGCCTCATTTTCATGGTTCATTGGTCAATATTAAGTTTTTGTGTTTTGGTCTGTTTTTCAAATACTAATAGTAATAGGTCAGCTATATTTGGTGTATGGAATAACTGTAAGGTGTACATGTCTGTCTAACAGGTATAATCTGACCTTGACCCTATTTTCATGGTTTATTGGTCAATGTTAAGTTTTTATGTTTTGATCTGTTTTTCAAATTACCAATAGTAATAGGTCAACTAAATTTGGTGTTTAAAAAAATTGGAAGGTGTATATGTCTGTCTGACAGGATTTATCTGACCTTGACCTCATTTTCATAGACCTTTAAAAATGTTAAGTTTATGTGATACTTTTAATAAAACCTTTATCTTTAAGACTTTCAACATAAAATCAATGGTCAGTAAAGCAGGCGAGACATTTCAGTGTGTGCACTCTTGTTAAGTTATTAGATATAGACACAGAGTATACTTCCTGCTTCAATATTTTTATTTTTTTTTTTAATTAGAACTGTGCTTCATATAATAAATTAATAATTATGACTTGATGAAGAGTAAAAAAAGTCAATATTATGAAAAATTGCCATTTTCCTAATTTATAACAAGTACATTTGTATTTCATGGCTGTATATACCGGTATGATGCTTGAAATATAATTATTATATGACTATAGAAATTCTCTTTTCTCATTGGTTAAAACATATTGAATCTTCTTTGACAAAACATTATATTCACAGCGGGAAAAATCATGAGAGGTTACCCGTAATATAAGATTTGGAACAGCTAATGTGTACCTATAAATAGTTTTTCCTAGGCAACATCGTGCACCTTGTCATTTTTCTTCTTCTCCTTTTTTCAATGTTATTTTTTTAATACATTTTATTGAATATTTCAACCTTTTAAAGGTTAGGCAACTGCCAAAGCAGATGATAATTATTTAGTATGAAAGGATAAAATATCTTGAGAAAATACAAGACATTTAAGATGGATTAAAAAAAGTAATATACTGTAAATTCAGAAATTATTGCGAGGTTTTTATTAATGCGAATAATGCGACTTGGTGATCATCGCAATAATAAGAACTCGCATTCTGATATCTGATACAAAAATCTGTATGCAGATTTTCCTGAAATCGCAATAATAAATCTCGCATTTTAGTCCATTCTTTAAAAATCGCAATAATAAATGCACGCAATAATTTCTGAATTTACAGTAATAAAACAATTGTTGACTTGTTGGTGTCAGTTAATACAATGATTTATCAACCCCGGAGATATGACATTCACACTAGGCAGTAATGGCCTTGGTGAATATTATATCTCTGGGTTTGATTAATCACTGTTTCGTAACCTCTTTAAAGGTCAATAATTCTATAATGTTTTACTCCAAAACTGGACTTTTTTGTATTGAAATGAGTCAACATTTGGAGAAATTTTGAAATATTCTTGATTTGTTGGCAAATTTGAGCAAAAATCATACTGTCTCCTTTTTCTGGTATCATCATGCTATATTGATGGTTTCATGATCTGATAACATAATAAGCCAGAGAAGATGTATGCATTTTATGGATAGCCTTTGTTCTGATTGTTATTACAGAATTTATGCTATAATTGATGTAACTTACTTGAAAATGTTTATATGACTACATGTACGTAACTGATAAACGGGAAACTTCAGACACAGCATACAATAAAATAAATAATTTTATCCCGTCAGAAAACTTATCAGTGGTTAATGTGTTTTGCTAAATCTTAATGTTATTGTCAATTAGGGAATTGTTATTGATAGCATGTATCGTTCTAGACACAGGAACATTTAGAACTTGACAAATTCGGTATAGACATTTGTTTATTGTAGAAGAGTAAGTTTATCGATAGTAGTTTTTTGTTGTTTTTATGTCATTGGGGGTTGCTGTCTCATTAGCATATACCACCACATCTTCTTTAATTATTATTCAGAAGTATGTTTATTTGATATCCCTCTAATTTTACATAATTTCTGTTACATCTATTGATATATATAAAGTGACTGTTTTGTGTATCTTTAAGCATAAAGACATGCCTATGAAAATGTTTAAACTCGCTGCATTTGTTTGCACCTGTCCTAAGTCAGGAACCTGATGTTCAGTGGTTGTCGTTTGTTGATGTGGTTCAGAAGTGTTTCTCATTTCTTATAATTTTAGATTAGAACGTTGGTTTTCCTGTTTGAATGGTTTTACACTAGTCATTTTTGGGGCCCTTTATAGCTTGCTGTTGGGTGTGAGCCAAGGCTCTGTGTTGAATATATATATATGACCTATAATGGTTTACTTTTACAAATTGTGACTTGGATGGAGAGTTGTCTCATTGGCACTCATACCACATCTTCTTATATCTAATTATTACAAATGAAACAACAAAAAATTTTGTTTAGTTTCAAAGAAAACCTATAAGATGCCTGGTTTTTGTCCTTGTTGAATTTGAGCAAACTGGGTACAATTACTGTGCAATATGGGTAGTGTGACGTTACATGTTTTATACAGAAAGCATCTTTGAATATTTGGAAAATTCAATTATATTTGAAAATGATTTGATTTGATTTTTGGGCTATTTCATGGTGGCCAGTATTTATTGGTGGAGGAAGCCGGAGTGTCTGGAGAAAACCACTGACCTTCGATAGAAAAACTGACAATCCTAGTCAATTAAGATTGGAGTCAAGTGCACCCGCACAAGCGGGGTTCGAACTCATAACCTCAGTGTTGACTGGCTAGTGATTACAGTAGTAACTACTTAGACCACTTGGCCACCGAGGCCCCTTATTTGAAATTAATTAGCATTACATAAACAATAAAAATCAACCATTTTTGAAACTGATTCAAAATGTGAAATGAAAGAGTTTGTCAGTACAAAATTATTGTAAAGATCTATAAAGCTGATGTTAAATTAGTTACTAACTAGTGCACCTACACAGTTTTTCCAATCACATATAAATGTTTTATTTGTTATCTCAGTAAAGAGGAATAATTGTCATCGGAATAATTGTCATCGGAAAATCAGTAATGCAGAAATCAATGAACTACCCAAAAAAGTGTTTTTATACTGTTAATTGCATGGTATTCATTATGTACTCGTCATTTATAAATCAGATACATTAATAATTCATCTATCAGACACCTAGCAGAAATTGATTAATTGAAAAAAATACTGTGATAAACTGAATGTATTTCTTTGAATTGAGCCATTTATGTTTTGTATCTTTGTAAGATTATTGATTCAGTACAAACTCGATGGTATATTGGACAAACTGTAACAAACTGACAAAGCAGATAGCCTTTATTTCGTGCCATTGGCCTATGAAAGAGAGGAGTTATAAAGCACAAGGATAGTTTTGATTATTTGGCATGGGCTGGTCAATACAGTATTGATCTGTCTTCTAACATTACAGGTTTGGACGTGCAGGCAATACTTTTAATGGTTTTTGGAATATCTATTTTAACTTTCTATTTCGGAAGGACTATGATTGCTATATGAGCTCTTTTAGGAAATTGGACAATTACTTGATCTTATATGTGGGGGAGAGTGTAGTCTGACGATTTAATTGTTCATCGTTGTTATTAGATATTATTATGAGGAAAGTTTGAAAAAGCTATTGAGAAAAGGTCTCTAAGATTACAAAGATCAAGCTTGTGTTCCTTAGAACTGACGGATCTAGGTAGTTTTACTTACTGGTGAGTATTATTACATTTTATACTTATTAATTTGAAGTTTTTTTCATAGGTATGATGTAACTTTCAAAAAGATCAAAATGACTACAGGTAATTGTGTGAATTTCCTATTTTCTTAGAAATAATTTATATGTTAAAGGAAAAAGAAAAACCACTTTAAATAATAAATTGTTGCTAAAAAATCCATTTAGTAAACCATAAACAAGTCCATGGGCAGATCTTACAACTTTTGGAAAAGTCTGTTTGTGGGTTTATACCTAGGGAAAGGGAGGGAACTTTGCCAGTCTGTTTGTGGGTTTATACCTAGGGAAAGAGAGGGAGCTTTGCCAGTCTGTTTATGGGTTTATACCTAGGGAAAGGGAGGGAGCTTTGCCAGTCTGTTTGTGGGTTTATACCTAGGGAAAGGGAGGGAACTTTGCCAGTCTGTTTGTGGGTTTATACCTAGGGAAAGGGAGGGAGCTTTGCCAGTAATAATTGTTCAAGGCATTTTTTTATGGCTAAAACAATGTACTAGCCTATATATCTACCAGACAATGTAAGAAATTCTCAAAACATCATCGTAAACATACAAAAATAAGCATGAATTTTTATTTATGTTACAATAGATTTGAGTCAATATTCATTGGGATTTGTTTTTTGAAAGCCTGTTTAAGCTAGAAACGTGTTCTCATGAATGTTGGGAGTTACCTCCACTATAGGCTGATTTTACAGTTCATTATGAATACGTGAAATAGACTAATATTGTATAATTTGTACAAAGCTTCAAATTTGAAAGTGTATCCCAAATAATAAATTTCTTTGATTTCTGAAATAAATCATCCTTACATTCCATCAGAATATAGAGAGAAGAAGAAGCCTAATGATTTTTCTGTCATTAGGTCAAAGGTCATCTCACTGTTACTAAAATAGTCAAATTTTGGAAAAATTGCTACAGGATGGTAACTTGAGTCTCCCTTGCTTCATTGTAATGACACTTATAAAGATGGAAAATATAGGGAAGATGAAGACGCCTTTTGATTTTGGGGTCAAAGGTCAAGGTCACAATTACAAAATAAAGAAAAATTTGGGAAAAATGGTTTCTGGATTGAAGCTGGTTTTTCCCTACCTTGATTGGATGAACAATTTATACAGATGAACAAACAAGGGAAAGGGGTAAAAGCCTATTAAATGTGGGGTCAGCAGGTCAAAGGTCAAGGTCACTGTTATTCTAAAGTGCCAGCTTTTTAGTGTTTTTCATCAAAAACTGACTGTAATGTTTGATGTAAAAAGGGAATTTATATGCTACATTTTTATGAAGTCATTAAAAGCTTCTGACTTCTGACAATGAAGTTAGACTTTTAGACCTTTAATGAGACTTCATTGCAATATTGTTTATTAAGTTGGTATCTTTTTTCTTTATCATATTTAAATATAAATGTAGTATAAGAGCAGTGAAGTTGAAATATTTTTTCATTTTTCATCAATGATTTCAATGTTGTTTTCAGACAGACAAATTGATTGCAAGCAATATTTATTGTATCATTACCGTTAGATGTCTTCCAATGTTAGCATAGGGAAAAATATTACCATTAAAACTATCAATATTCCTATAGTTTATATTATTTTGTCTCATTATAATCATCTTTCAACCTGACACAATTAATTTTAAGTATTGTATGGAAGTTGGAGAGACTTTCCATGATAATTGACTCAGATAGATGTTTGATACACATTCTGATTTATTTGACCTGAGCACATTTTGACTTTTATCGTCCTTAGTCAGTAGAAAATGGTATATATAGTAGCTAGACATTTTATTGTTTTCATTTCACAAAATTTGTTCGTCAATTGATCCTGCAGTAGAATTATCATATTTCTATTTATCATCAGAATGGTTTGTCCGAGAGCACTTTGAGTAAGTTTTTATATTTTCCGTTATAATTTTTTAACATTTTTTGCATGAAAAAGCATCTTTTTTTATTTGATATTTTTTAGAATAACAGGGTCAGATATCATGGAAACTTAAGATAAACATTTGGTAAAATTTAGCTTTTTTAAGAATTCTTTATCAAGTCAAATTGCAATAATAGTTGCAACTTGCAATGGAGAAATATATATACTAATACTTGGTTATTTTACTAGGATGTAAAATCATGTCTATAATCTTGTGTTATTTTTGTGAATTAAAATCTAAGATTTAATCCTTGCAAGATGGTAGATTTCCAGTGTGAAAGAATCAATATTTCAACAATCATTAAAGTTAAACTGACACTAAGTAGCTGTCCTAGCTGTTTATGGATAGAATTAGTCAACAGATTTTTTTATCCTTTTAAGAATTTGTGTTAATGGAAGATCTTTGATAGTCTATAATGCATGTATTTAGAATTGAGATTGAAAACAGGGATCATGTCAAAGAGACAACAACCTGATCAAAGGGCAGAAAACAGCCCAAGGCATAAACAGTGGGTCTTTAACGCAGCAAGAAAATCCCACAGCTGGAGGCCAGATTCAGCTGTTTATATTTGGGACTATTGATAGCTTTAAATTTATTTACTATAATTGTTGAACACTGTTTGTTGTCCACTAAATGTCTGGTTTTATTGTAGGATTGCTGTCTTATTGGTGTATTATTATACTCTTTTAATTTATATATAATCAGCAGTTGAAGCTTATCAAAAATTTATCATTTAGGCCTTGAAATTATCTATTACACAATTTACTCTACAGACCATTATTATTTTGGGCCTACTGTAAAAAAAAATTGCAAGTAGAAATAAGTTAACGTGAATACGAAATGTAGCAAATTTGTTAAACTTGGAACTTTTTTTATATAAATACACCTACTATGTTAAAAAGTTGTGAGAAAATAAATTGTAGCTACTTCGCCTGATAAGGACTATAAGCAACAACAAACAGTGTCCACAAAATTTTTTTTTACAGTAAATCTTTTGTAGAAAATAGTTATAAAAATAAAAAGATGTTTGATTTTCAAAGATAGCTACCAAAAAAAGATCTATGAATGAGAAAATTAACTTCTACTGAACACCATGATGTTCATGGTCAGTCTTCATAAAACAAATACTGTAATGTAAGCTTTACAAAGCACCAAGAAAACAAATGTAAACAATTTAGCAGAGACTTCTAATAGTTCAATTTTAGTTGATAGCATTTTAAGAAAAAAAAAATGCAAAATAAAAACCAGACAACACCTGGACTAAAAGGCTGCTGACTTGTCAAGTAGGAATAGACATGCAATAGAGGTATTATCACTAGTATGCAAATTTGTCCGCCATTACTTAAAATCACACAAGTTCCCATAAAATTGGACATCACAATTTAGAAAATTTGAGTGATAATTAAAAAGTGATTGTTGATTGACGTCAGAAGGTTATTCAGAGACAGATCTAAGGTCATTTGGAGACAAAATTCAGCTAAATACATTTATCAAAACAATGAACTGTAAAACCAATTGAAATGATTTTGAGCTCTAGCTAACAGTTGAAAGGAAATTGACAGGTACATGTATCAACAGTTTCAAAAATCAGTTCAAAATCTGATGTTGAACTTTAAGAGTGTAAAAATTTGTAAAGAAAAATATAAACTTAAGATAACTTATACTCTAGAGTCTAGACTTATTGCATGATTGTGTTGTTGGGTTGCTGTTTCATTGATGTATACCCCCACATCATGTTTCTTTTATGCATACCTGTCAAATCAACTTTTTTTAAACATTTATTGTGTTTACTGGAATACAGGTATCATGTTTTCCCTTGCATTGATGTTTCCTGAATATTAACCATTCTTTTTTCTTTTTTATACATTCCAGACATTCCGATAAAGGAAACAGGATCTGATACTCCTAGCTTAGAATCAGTGTGAAAGCCTGAAAGGTAATTAGTCATTAAAATAAATTGTACTTTAAGGGAAAACAAATCTCTAAATCGTTATTCTAGAAGCTTAAGTTATGTTTATAACTGCAAGAAAATCTTAATCACAATACAAGATTAAACTTTTACCCACATAATAAAACACTGCTATTTGCTTCAAATTAGTCCCTGATTTCATACAAAATAAAGTTGACCTTTCCTGAACTCCCTTTTTTAAGATGTAAAATTGAAGCACACCAGTTATGACCTACTCTGATTGTAAAAAAAGGAAGAAATGATGTAATTCAACATTTTTCTGTGTGTTTTGTTGTTTTGAAATGTCAGAAATCATTATCACGTAAGAAAATGACAAAATGACTTTTAACCATGGAAGCCATTGATTCTCCAGCAATCTTAAGTATGTTCCACTTTTATGCCAAAGTACAAAAGAATTGAAATGACTATGCCATATTAGAATGTTGAATAATTTAAGTAATAATTATTGCAGTGAGGTTCAAAGTAGATTTATGTTTCTATAATTTCTTTACAGGTAGGTTCAGAAGATAATCACAAAAACTTGTAAAATGAGGCTTAATTTTTAGACAATATTTGATAAAAATAGACTGATGTGCTAAGTAATTAAAATACAAAAAATGACAGTGTTTCAGATGGAAACTTGTGAGTATACCCGTATGAAAAACATGACACGTACTCCAGCCGGACAGTAGCCGTACTGTAGCCGTACTGAGAACCGTACTTATAATATTCATTTGGACTTTTCTTTGAATTGCTTATAATAGATACCCCGGCTGGACTTTCAGCGAAATTAGCCGTAAACCGGCTCGAAATATTTAAATTAGCAGGAGTCCGGTTCATGAAATCCAGCTGGACTTTAATAAAAGTACGTCTGAATAAAAATCCAGCCGGCATTTATGGCAAAAATATGGACTCTATAAAGTTCAGCCGGACTTTACAAAGTACGGCTGAACTTTAAAAAGTCCAGCTGGACTTCAAAAAGTGCGGTTTGACTTTTAAAGATGATCTCAGCAGGGGCAAATCCTGCCATTTTCTTAAGGGGGGTTCCTAACTCAGGATAAAGGGGGGGGGGGTGGTCCAACCCCCGGAACCCTCCCCCTGGATCCGCCACTACTCAGTTTTTCTTCAGATGGTTGGTTCTTCTGATTTAATTTGCATCATGCATCCCTTGCTATAATCTGAAAATACAAAAACAACAGATGACATTATGCATATATACTGGTTATTACTTTTTCTTTTTTGTACTGTCTTACTGGCAAAACCAAGAAATGGGGAACTGAGAAGCTAAATGCTAACTTCTAATAATTTGTGGTTATAATAGCCTAAATAATTTTAAAGTGGCTAAAAATAAAATAAAGTTGGCTTTGAAAATCACTTAAAGTGTAGAAATTAAAAAACTTTCATAACAACTCAAATAATAACCATTCCTTAATACAGAGGGAATAAAAAATATAACAAATTTTTTTACATAACCTGATAACAATTCAAAACAGGAAGTGACAGTGACATAACAGACAAGATGAAAATTATTGCATGAATATAAATATTTGATGTAGGTTTTTTATTCTTTTCACTCTTCAAAAATAAGAATTAAGCTATTTATAATATTGTAATTATTCTATTTATATTTTGAATAAAAAGAGCATATCAGATAATACCACCAAAATGGTGGAATTCAATTTATTGTACTTACCAGAATATACAATCCAAAACACATGCAAACAGCAATCTTCCTAAATAATTTTGTCATTGATGCCAGTCAGAAGGATCCATCTTCTCTATTTAATGTGAAAAGAACTACTTCCAAACATTTGCTTTACACACAATTATGTAAAATTCTCATTTTGTTCAAGAAAGAAGACACATCTTCCTGTTTATTCCAAAATCAAATTGTGTTGTATTGCAATACATGAGGTTGTTTAAGGAGTTGTTTTAAATGTTCCTCTTATGACTAATTGCATGTGCCTTAATTTTGAATATGTGATAGATTAAAAAAAGAAAATCAATTATAAATTTGTTTAATTATGAAATTTTTAATAAAAGTGATAGTAATTGCAGAAATATGTATTTCGAAATGTGTTCTCCTACATATGGCCTCAATCTCTGTGGAGATAGTACTTCCTGTGACCTGTCCAGACTGAGGTTAATTGAAAACAGATGGCACATTTCTACAAGACTAACTGCTATTAAATCACTGTTACATGGCTCAAGTTTCTAAATTCCTGCTCATAAATGAATGTTAAATTTTCTAAGACAAAAATCCTGCTGATCATATTACAGAAAGGAATAAATTTCCTCAAAAGTCCAGCCGTGTTTTTTTTCTTGCCAGCATTACAAAAAGTGCGGTTGGACTTTTAAGAAAATACCGGCTGGCAAATAACCCAAGTATAAGAAAAAGTACGTGTACGGCTCATGTCAGACTGGACTTTTCAACGTCAGACTGGAATACGTCTCAAGTCCAGCTGGAGTCCAGTTGAACTCCTGTTGAAATTTTCATACGGGTATTGAAGATATGATTATATATAGGGCTGAACTTGGTCAATGAAAAAAATTAAAACATGCAAAATATTTGTTGTTTCAAGCTATTATAAAAAATTCTTATTAGACTCTTAGAATATTGTAAAGCTTCTGTCAACGCATATTCACTGAGAAATTGATATTTTAAAATAATAGACTTTCTTAATAGAAACTTAGGTATTTTATTTCATTATCTTCATTCAAAATTCAACTGGAAACTTTCCTTGATGACAATTTTTTTAATGCCTTTCATGTTTTCAAAAGGTAAAGGTTTAAAAAAAAAGCTTGCATGCATGCATTCATTTGTGGGTTTATTTTATGATGAATGTAAAAATAAATCAATAAAATAAAACAAATTGAAATAAAGAGCTGGAAATAAAAAAAATATAATGATAAAACCAACATGTTTTTGGACATGAAATATTTTGTTTGGTAGGTTCGTAAAAAGAGATTTACCATGACTGTACTATTGAATGAATCTGATTTATTAGCCATCGTAATACTTTACAAAAGATGAAGCTTTACACATGGGTAGTTAATTACTATGATTGCAGTCTCTGATTTCAATTTACCAAGACTACTGAAGTATGTTATCAATACAGCAAGAATATGAAATTTGATATGAAATAGATTTCTTATTGATTTAATAACTCACTAATGCAAATGAATGCAGAAAATCACAACACTGATCCCAACAGTATTCCAGCTATCTATATAGCTCATTTCAATTGGAGCTTTTAATCAACTATTGGTAAAAATATAATCGGCCTAACACATGGCAAGTTTTATTGCCAATATTTTGAATTCGTTTGTCTATTTTGGTATTTATATATTTCTGTCTATTTTTGTTTTTGTATTTATGCATACTCTGGGAAATTCAGGAAGTAGCTTGTACTTTTGTTGTGTTTTCAGTATTATGCCTCGTTCAAAGGTACATTTAATTCAAATTGAGTTTGAATCAAATGCGAATCGAATTCGCTATTCATGTTCACACACTTTTTTTTTAATTCGAATCTAAATTCGAATTGCATAATTTGCATCATCCAATTTGCATTATAAATGCGTTTTCGTTAATGCAAATATAGTTAATTTGCTTCAATTCGAATTAAACTGTGGTATGGAAAGAATCACACAGTTAAAAATATTACAGCCTTTTGAGATCCTGCCTTTTTATTTCAAATTTGATCCTAGCACCTTCCATAAAAATCAAATGGTCGTTCCCTAAAGGAGAAATTTTTTAAGAAGTGATAAATCTAGGCAAAATTTCAAAGACAATTCAAAAGATTTTTTTTTCGTTTAGCAATGGTTTGTGCAAAATAACAGGAAAAAATTTTCTTGGAAAAAATAGGAAAACCCTAGCCCTGTTATTGAAATGAGTAGGAATAATGATTCCCATAAATGCCATATCCGATCAAAAGAGTAAGTTTGGAGATGTAATTGTCTCTAAAATGGTTGTTTTGTTTTAAATTATAATTAATTAATTGATCATGTGAATTAAAAGTTTACATCGTTCGGACAGTAAAGCGAATTTGACACGCATTGCCATTCGTATTAAAATTTACATTCAGACGTAAAACATTTCGAAAGTGAATTAAATTAATTTGAATTAGTTAATGCAAATCAAATTTACATTACGTGTGACCCCAGCATTAAGTAAAGGAAAAGTTGTGATTTGGAGTCAACTTGGCCTTAAAACCAAAAGTATTTCAAAATATCTTTTAATTCCAGAATTCAATGAGGAATATATGTACTTTGATATTAAACACTAAAGTTTTTGACTGTTAATTTATTGCTTGACACATGCAGAAGTAAGAGAAATAATGTAGAGTATATTTCTCGTTCAAAAAAATCTTCACATAGGAATTGTAATTGGATTGGTCTATTTCCTGTATTTGCCAAAAATTTGATAAATCCTCCAATAAACATTGTAATGAAGTCACAGTCGAATCACTATGCCTAAGCTAATACTAACATTTTCTGAAAGTTTTCATCCTGATTCTGCAGTTTGCAAAGTGTGATTTGTGACAAATAATAAACTGAAATTGGGCCGTATGTTTAGTTTGTGGATGATATCTTTTGAACAATATGTCCATCCTTCTCATACCTCATGACGTACATGTTCAGGGCTTGAAAATGCTCCTTGGAAAGACCCCTTATTGATATTTGGGTCAGTTGGTCAAAGGTCAAGATCACAGTGCCTAGTTAGACTTAAATTTTTGGGAAGCAGTGTTTCTAGGTGGTGTTACCAAAATGTTACAAAAGCATGGGTTCAAAATAAGTATAATGCACCTGCTAAGATGAATGAAGGGCATACTGTTTCATCTCTGAATTAATTTCTGTCCTTCTGCATACAGCATGTACAGGGTACATGATATTAAAAGCCTATTGTCACTCTGTTCCAAGTTTTAAACTAGTAACTTTTTTAATATGAATTCTTATACCAAATGTATGCATTATTTCGAAGATTGATACCAAATTGAACAATTTCTCACTATACTTATGTCAGTGATGTACATGGTTTGTGATGTGAAATGATCCAACAGTTTTTACTTGCAAGACAGTTCATGATGGTAATTTATAATCTGCCTTAGATGAACTCGAATTATCTTAATGTTTAAATATTTTATAATTTTTTCTCTAATTCTCAAAATTTCAGTAAAGTTGTGTAGAAAGAACATTCTTAATTATATATTATTGTTGTTAGATCAGCGCAAAATACATAATGGAAATAAGTTACACATATTTAGACTGTTTAAAGATAATGTAAAAACTGAACCGTATGTTTGCCTAAATATTGCCAGGCCTGAAAGACGTACTATGGCTCTGTTATGGTCCGGTGGCCTATGAGATTGGCAGGTACTCCAGGCCGCCAATCCCGATAGAAGAAAGACTCTTGTGTTTTTTGCAACCTTGGTTGTGTAGAAATCGAAAAACATTTCCTTCTTGAATGCGAACTTTATGGTGACTTATGTTATAATTTATTTTCCAAATGCTCTAAATATATTGATCACTTAAAAATCTTGATATGGAGGATACATTTATAAAAATCATGAACTGGTTCAAATATCCAACACTATTTTTGTAAAATATTATATAAGTTTTTTATTCGCAGAAAGTTATTTTCATAGTATGTATTTTATTTAGAATTTAAATTAACTGCTCTTAAATGCAAATATTTCTATCAGTAGAAATTTTCAATTACAGACACAATTTTAAAGCTTGTTACATGCCTTTTTCAACCATAGTCAAGACATTTTTATATATATATTTAGATTTTATTTATTATAACTTTCTTCTTTTTTTTTTAACAATTTTACAGATATAAGAAACACTTTTTATAATTAGCAGTGTTTAGCTGTTTTAACTTTGATAATTATTGTATAAAGTTTTATACTGTCAGTGTCTCATAAGTCAGATTTTTATGGCTGGATATTGATTGTTTTATGTGTAAATATTACAAATGTTTTAAGACATTTAATATGTGACACTTTAATAAATAAATTTATTATTTTATACCTTTGCTATATTACTTAATACCTATGATTAAGGATTAATGCAATTTTCTTACAGTTAATAATTTCTTGATTGTTATTATACCAGTTAATTTGGTTATTTTAAGTTATTAAATTAGCTGCTAAATTTCCCTTGAATATATAAGCAGATTTAGCACCTTTTAGTTAAAGCTGTCATTTTCTTTGAGTAAAACTGTTTTGATTATGTAATTTGGTTAGGTTAAAATCAATGAATGTTTGGTTATATTTCAAACTGCTATTGCTTGACTGGGACTAATACACATATATTAGACCATCTTCGGGGGTCATATGTGTCTTACAGGCACAAGCATTTCAAGTAAGTGTTGAACATACTAAATGAAAATACATTACTTATACCATGTATAAAGTTCATACTGGGATGGGGATATTTTTATGCCCCCGCCATAGGCGTCTGGGGCATTAAGTGTTAACCTTGACCGTTTGTCCTTTCTTCTTTCCGTCTTTCAGTCCTTCCATCTTTCCGCCTTCGTCTGTCCCATTTTCGTTGCAAAGTTTGAGCGGGGGCATTTGTATCCTCAAACACATTCTTCTTTTATTTTGTCTCGTTTTTCTCTCCCCTGCAACAAAAGTCCTCAAAGTGAGACCTAGACATGCTGTTTCTTACTTTGGCAGCGTCAACAATTGTTAGTGTTAGTGATTTGTCTACAAAAGTTAGACATACTAACAGTTTATTGTACTGCATGCGACGCATAGCAGGGGACATAGAAATACCAGGCGTCAATCTCTGTCTGTCCCTCCGGTCTTGTTAGCACTCTCACATGTACAATTCTTGCCAGATTTTTATAATGTTTATATCATAGGTTTATATCAGCATTGTGGCAGACAATTGAGAAAATCAGTGCAGATCAACAATTTTTAAAAGAGTTATGCCCCTTGGAATTATTAATTATGTGGAAATTGCATTTTTTTGTTAGCACTCTCATGTGTACAATTCTTGCCAGAATTTTATGATACTTTTATTATAGATTTATGTCAGCAATGTCTTGGACAAGTAAGAAAATCAGTTCCGATCAACTATTTTTGAAAGAGTTATGCCCTTGGAAATATCAATTATATGGAAAATTGCATTGTTAGCGCTCTCATGTGTACAATTTTAGCCAGATTTTTATGAGACTTAAATCATAGGTTTATATTACCAATGTCTCATACAAGTTCCAAAATCAGTATTTAAAAAAAGTTATGCCCCTCTGTTCTTTTGTTTATTAAAGGATTTGTGTATCCAATTTTTTAACTTTATTGATAAGCACTTTATTCCCTTATGGGACAATGGCTTATAAACGAACATAAACAAACAAATGAAAATTACATATAAATCATACAATTATCATATTTATGTTAAGATATATATACATTTATATTCAAAAAAATTGTGACTGATTCCTTACCCTCAACCTTAGTGAACGGAACCTATTTCGTGGTCATCCTGATAATAAGGTATAATAGAGATCAGACATGTTCAACTCCAGATACAGGATTCCAGGGATGAATTTCCAACCTGACTATGAATTTTTTATTAAATAAATGATAGGTAAATTGCATGGGAAATGAAGATTTGGGCTAAATGATGTTTCATCTGGGCTAAGTTGTGCTGATCATATTCGTGTTTGTGGTAAGCCAGAATATCAGTCTATATAACGGTAATGTAGCTGCTGATAGTTATGACAAAAACATTACAATTGGAATTGACACATCTCCCTGATATACACTTGTATTTCCCTGATATACACTTGTATTTCCCTGATATACACTTGTATTGACACAAAATGAAAGGAAAGTCCACTCTTCCATTTTGCTACACTTTTAGATAAAATAGTGACTCGTTTTATATTCAACTGTTAAACAAAAAGATGAACAATACCTGATAGCAATCATTTAACAATATCCATACTGTGGGCAGATAAACCACTTTAAACTCATCAAATCAGTCAAGTATGAAAATTTCAGAAAGTACATGTATTTGTTTTGCATTTTTATGCCTCACCTACGATAATAGTAGGGGCATTAAGTTTTCTGGTCTGTGCGTCCTTTTTCGTTTGTCCGTCCCTCTGTCCCACTTCAGGTTAAAGTTTTTGGTCAAGGTAGTTTTTGATGAAGTTGATGTCCAATCAACTTGAAACTTAGTACACATGCATGTTCCCTGTGATATGATCTTTCTAATTTTAATGCCAAATTAGAGTTTTGACCCCCAATTTCAGGGTCCACTGAACATAGAAAATGACAGTGTGAGTGGGGCATCCATGTACTATGGACACATTCTTGTTTAAAATTACATATAAATAAATGTTTTACATATTTTATATCAAACATTAATAGAGATAGATTTTACCTTTACAGGTAGACAGAATTTTTTAGCCCTCGACTCCAATTTTTTTTAGCCCAAATGATATCATGATCACTTTTATGATTTAGCTTAAATGTCTTGTGCCCAATTGCATATACACAACATTAGCATCATACTGTTACATTATTATGAAGTGACACACTTAATACCTGCGTATTAAACTGAAAAATGGCAATGGGGAGTTTTAAAACACAAAAGGATTGATTGATTGTTGCTTGCTTCTAATGTTCAGTGACAAATATTTCATGCACATTCAGGATGAGAACAAACTAACAATTAATATAATAGGCAGATTCTGCAAGGAAAAACAAGACGAGCCACTATGGATTTGAAGAGTATATTGTGCTTTAATTTCATTTTAACTCGTTCAAGAGTAAGATCAATACCTGTCGTGGGGGAAATCCCCCATAAATGTGGAAAAGTTGGCAGTCACTACGTTGATTCAGATATTACCATAATGTAAAAATCTATTTCTTATCGAAGATTTCCTTTGACCTTGAATTCTAGTTTGTGTGATCTGTTTTATTTTCATTAAATTGATTTGAGATATAAATATCAAATTTAGGTGCAGACCTATAAACAGCAATAAAACCTTGAACCTAAAATAGGCACTTGTATACTTAACCGAAATATTAAAAATCCTATTTAGCTGACAGCACAGATATAAACTATAGACCTTGAACTTGTTCCTTAAAATAAGTTTAAAAGTTGAAATTAACATAAATATGATTTATTACAATAACTGAAAAATCTATAATCCACATATGTTTATAAAATGAAAGAGCTAATTGAAAAGCTATCCCTATACAATTGTGATAACGAGATGTCCATTAATGCATTGACCACTACCTACAGGCTAGTTTTAGAGATAACACGTAAATTTTTCAATAAAAACAGTTTTTATGGTAGTATCTATTTTGTCATGGTTGAGGGATTTTTGATGATACCTGTATTTGACTATCAGGCATATTATTTGTTAAATGCATGGTAAGCTTTATTTATTTTGTATGTTCTATTGATTTTTAACAGTATTGTGATTGGTAAACAATTGTGTCAATGTAAGGATATACTAGCATGAGTCTTATCAGTTTCTCACAGAATTATGCATATTTATTGTCTTATCTTTCAGTCAATAGCCACAAATTGTCTAAGGAGACTCATCAGTGCTTATCATTGATTCAATAGGTAAGTTATTATTTAAACTTTCACTTAATTTCTTGTATATTTGTTGTACCGGTACAAAATTCTCATGATGTTACGCCTAAATCAGTTCAGTTCTAATGTAAATATTTATGTTAAGACTTGTTCCATATATAGAATTACTGGGTCCATAAATGGAATATGAAAGTAGAAAATAAGTACTGATTCAAATTGTATATGGTTATATTTATAATCCATGTGGGTAGATTGATCAGGAATAATGTTTTACTTTATGATGGTCAGGTCCTTTGAGGTCAGGTAAGCCATGAGATATTAAAAATTTCTTGTTCTTATCTTTTTTTATTATTTAGTAAGGGAAAAAAATCATGTTTAAATCTAAGATTTTCTTATCTTTTTTTATTATTTAGTAAGGGGAAAATCATGTTTTAAATCTAAGGTTTAGAACCAATCTTCAGATGAGGTATTAAAACCCCTCAATTGGAAAGGATGTAACATTTTTTATGAGGGTCAAACTTTAAGTGATTATAATATAAAAATGATAATATATACTACAAGGAGATGTGGCGTAACATGTCAATGAGACAGCTTCCCAACAACAAAAGACATCTGATTTTATATGTAATGTGTTGGAAAATTAACCAAGTAGGGAACACACCTTACTTAGTCTAAATAATTATACGTCTTGAAAGGCTATTTTAATTTTTTGCTGTGACGCCTTCCTGCCACAGGTGTCACAGCAAAAAATTAAAATTGCCTTTCAAGACGTCATAATTATTTGGACTACACCTTACTAAACTTTCTATTATATTCCATGAACAAAGGTGATAATAATATAATTGACATTTAGCAGTAATTGTTTGAGGATTAGGGAGAATTTCAATCTAAGCTTAGTGCCCTTCCTAATCCCTAATTATTGTTACAAAATTAAGAAAAAGCCAATTATACAAATATTATTTATATTAAGTCCTATGGAATTTAGGAATACCTTTGATTAAATTATGTGTAGCCTTATTTTATCAATTTTCAGGTATCTTTAAGAAATAGTATAATTGGTATCTGCACACGTAAGTGTAGATTATTTTTTGTGTGAAGTTCACATTTTTTATACGCCAGTTTACGGGACGTATTATGATATACCCTTGTCCGTCCGTCCGTCGTAAACATGTCGGACAATAACTCAAAAACGCTTTAACTAATTTTCATGAAACTTTGATGAATTGTTTATATCTATTGACGTAAGCTCCCTTTCAATTTTTAAAGGCAGTGCTTTAATGCCTTTCTAGTTGCCGGGTTAATCCTTCCTTCCGCGATATCCAACTTATCCAACTTATCTACGTGGGGGGTCATTAGACTCCAAGTAGATCCGGAAATGTTGAATTCTCTCCTCTTCTTATTGCGATATAAAATGTTTTTTGTTTCATTTCATTTACATTGGGAAAAAGAGAAACGATCATTATGTTTTGTTAGTTTTAAAAACTTTTGATATATTAGTATTTTGCATTATAAGCAGTCAACCGATTGACAAACTAGAATTATTTGAATTCCGTGTGGAAAGAGCTCGGGTTAATTTCGAGTGTTATCTGCAATCTAGATGTTTATAAATCATTTCAGTCGTTGATATTATAATTGAAGGTCGACTGAACATGAATTATATTATACAATTTAAAGCGCATTTCTGTTTATGCACGTGAACCCGTCTAACGTTATTTTCGCAGTTATATAAAGTAGCAAATTATCGTTCCTGAATAGGTGGCGCCGTGGTAGCGGATCCTGTTCCTCTTCTTCCGGTTTCTGCACTGTGCAACTATTTCAGTTATATTTTTAATTAACGATGCCAAGTACTTGTTGTTGTGTACCTGGATGTCATTTAAGAGGAGGACATGCATTTCCAAATGACTTAAAAAGAAGGAAAAGTTGGATCAACGCCATGGCCCATACGCAGATTGGACGAGAACACGATGATATCGTGGAGTCCATCTCAATCAGCTGTTGTTTGCAAGGCACGTTTTACTGAAAAAGACTACGTGCAGGAAACTATTCATGGTAAAACTCTATTTTCTTTGTGAAATATATAGTTATATATGTAATCTCCATGCGAATAAACCAAAGTCTGTTTACAACCGCAATTATCGTTTTAGAATAAAAGGGGGTGGGTAATTCAAGACGTCATAATTTTTTGGATTACGATTCAATGTGATCTGTTTGAGATTTTTTGGTGATTGCTACAATTATAATGATTTCTTACAAGAGGTATATCATACTGAGAATTATTTTAGCAGTAATTATGCTAATGTAGTAATGACAGGAATGCATAAGCTATGCCTCATAGACTTTCTTGAAAAATATCAATGACAATGTTAACAGGAACAAAACAATGACATGCTCTCATCTATATTATAGTTTTTTAGGTACAAACAATGTACGTTTGTTGCATAAGTCTCTCATTGTTTGTCCTTTGGATTTACATAACATACATTGAATCAGGCAAACATAGTTTTATCCAGATTGTAATGAATAAATCTAGTTAATATTTCGCCAGGTAGTACAAAGTATACATTGCTAATGGAAGTTCATTTAATTATAAAAAATCTAATGTTTTATAACCTTTTTCAGGGCGCAAACCCACCATACAGAGACTTAAATCTACTGCAATTCCCAGCCTATTTTCCTGGACCAAGCAAGAGACTGAATCGTCCGCAAAAAGAAAAATCAGGGCAGTTTTCTGTGAAAACAAAAGAACTAAACTTGATGAATATTGTAGTAGAAATCTAGAGGAAAGTTTTGATTGTAAAGTTGGTTTTCCTGAAGAAGTCATTCATACTGCAGAAAGGATTTATGACTGTCCACCACCAACTGCCGAGCTAATGTTGAGCTTCACAGATGGAATTACGCAAACACCATCAATGACTATGTTTTCAGCAGAGAATTTTGAAATGAAGACACGTGACACAGCCATGCATTTTTATACCGGTTTAGAGTTGTATACTAAATTTTTATTTGTTTTGACCACACTTGGTCCAGCAGCACATTGTTTGAGATACATATATTTTCAAATTGATAGGGTGTCAGTTGAAAATCAGTTTTTCTATGACTTTGATGAAATTGAGGCATCATACAACCAACTTTGAACTGTCTAGATTCTAGATTGAATCTAGTGTTAAGAATATTGTGTATACATGGATTATTTTTATGTCTTAACAGTGGTGTGAGGCTAACACTTGGCCATCTAGTGGTTTAGTCAGGTATTTTGCACCATCCAACTTCAAATTAAAGTTTCCTACGACTTGGATTATTATTGACAGCACAGAATATCCCGTGATAAAACCTAAAGCTCCTAGAGCTCAGGCAACCTTTTCATCAAATAAAAACAGAAACACTGAAAATTCTTGAATGTTCGACACCTGGTGGTTTAGTCAACTATCTATGTCTCTATGTCACATAGAGCGAATTATTGGACTTGGCAAAACATACAAAATTCTAATAAATCCTATGAATGAAACTGAAACAAAACTTTCATCTGAAATAACATTTAGTTGTTGTATGTTGTGTAATTTTAGAACTTGTATTGTGCCAAAGGATGCATAAATAAAAGTGACGCAATGAATTTTGTTCTGATATATATATATTTACAATAACATGCACATGTAAATTGTAATGCATATAAAAATAAGGAGATGTGGTATGATATTCTGTGAGTTTATCAAACTAAAGTGCACAAGAAATGGGTTTAAGCAGTTACAGGTGTTACTGTCACCGTACAATCTCCAACAATGAGAAAAAACTCGTACCCTGTAAAAAATTTCAGAGATCTTACAACTAAGTTTTGTTGTCTCACCTTGACTTTGGTGAATTTTTTTATATCTGTTGATGTAAATATAAAAAAGAAGATGTGGTATGATTGCCAATGAGACAACTCTCCACACATGCACAAGAGACCAAATGACACAGAAATTAACAGCTATAGGTCACAGTACGGCCTTCAACAATGAGCAAAGCCCATACCGCACAGTCAGCTATAAAAGGCCCAGAAATGACAATGTAAAACAATTCAAACAAGAAAACTAACGGCCTATTTTATGTAAAAAAATGAACAAATATAACAAATATGCAACACATAAACAAACGACAACCACTGAATTACACTTTTATAGGCTCCTGACTTGGGACAGGCACATACATGTACATACAGAATGTGGCGGGCTTAAACATGTTAGCGGGATCCCAACCCTCCCCCTAACCTGGGACAGTGGTGTAACAGTACAATATAAGAAAGAACTATAAAAATCAGTTGAAAGAGGCTAAACTCATCAGATGGATAAATACAAATACAAGTGGACGTGGTCGGGTAGTTGTACATCCAAACAACAAAAAGACACTAAGTACAAATCTGAGAGTACTCGCAGTTACTGACAGCTAGTTCAAAGCCACTAACAACTGATAAAAAAATCTTGCATCTAAGACTAAATTATCAATCCGTAAGCACCCTTTAGAATTTTATAAATTTTAGATTTTACATTTCTGAGTTATGGGGTTTTATTCATTAAAAAAGGTGGGATTTTCCAGTTTTTGGACAACAACTCAAAAATGCTTTAAGCAGTTCACATGAAACTTTGGTGAATTATTTATAGCTATTGATGTAATCTCCCTATTGATTTTCATAAATTTCAAATATGACATTGAGAAGAAATTGAACTTTATTTGTTTATAGTCTGGCAACAGATTTATTATGTATTGCACAACAGCACAGTGTATTGCACAACAGCAAGAAATCTTTAATTGAATATAAATTCAATTCATATAACCGATTTCAAGTTCATTGACTACATTTATTCAGAAACTATAATATGTCAAATATTTAATTACAATCCAAATTCAGACCTGTATCAAGCTTGAATATTGTGTCCATTTTTGCCCCAGCTGTTCAGGGTAGTACCTCTGTGGGTGTATCCAGCTGCGCTCAGCGAATCAGTTTATTTCTTAATTAAGAACTTTTTATACGACCGCAAAAAAATTTTGTGGTCATATATTGGTATGACGTTGGCGTCGTCGTCGTTGTCATCATCCGAAGACACATTAGTTTTCGCACTCTAACTTTAGTTTAAGTGAATGGATCTCAATGAAATTTTAAAATAAGGTTCAATACCACAAAAGGAAAGTGGGGATTGATTTTGGGGGTTATGGTACCATCAGTTAAGGAATTAGGGGCCAAAAATAAGCATTTTTGTAACTTCCAGACATAACTTGTGTGTAAGTGTATGGATCTCACAAGGTTCCATATCACAAAGGGAATGCTGGGATTGATTTTGGGGGTAATTGCCTCCAAATTTTAGGAATTAGGGGCCAAAAAGGGGCAAAAAACAAGCATTTTTCTAGTTTCATGGCAATAACTTGTGTGTAAGTGTATGGATCTTTATGAAATTGTACTACAAGGTTCCATATCACAAAGGGAAAGTTGGGTTTGAGTTGAGGGTTAATTGCCCTAAACGTTTAGGAATTTGGGACCAAAAAGGGGCCAAAAAACAAGCATTTTTCTAGTTTCCAGACAATAACATGTGTTCAAGTGTATGGATCTCTCTGAAATTGTACTGCAAGGTACCATACCACAAAGGGAAGGCTGGGATTGAGTTTTGGGGTGATGAATCATAAGGGGGTTCAAAAAATTTTGGGGGGGGATTCTTTTTCCATTTTAAATTGGTTATTTCTGATTTATATATAAAAGCAAATAATAATGATATGGTTTGAATAGGTAAATTAAATTTTTTTAAGTATCTTAGACCACTTTCATTCTGTGTCAGAAACCTATGCTGTGTCAAATATTTAATTACAATCCAAATTCAGTGCTGAATCAAGCTTGAATGTTGTGTTCATACTTGCCCCAACTGTTCAGGGTTCGACCTCTGCAGTCGTATCAAGCTGCGCCCCAGCGGAGCATTTTATTTCATTCATAAATTACTTTATGCTTGGAAATATAATTTTGCTTGGAGTTGAAAGAGTTGACATGTTGCAATGTACATTTACTCTACATAGGTCGATGGTACCAAATCAAAAGTTTATATAAAGAAAGAAGTCAAAGGTTTCCCATAATAGTTTAGTTACATACATTTTTTTTGTACCTGAGGTCGTTGAATATAGATCATTATATAAATAAGGAGATGTGTTATGATTGCCAATGAAAAAACTAAGGATTTTCTTATCCAAGGAATAGATTTCCTTAGCCGTATTTGGCACAACTTTTTGGAATTTTGGGTCCTCAATGCTCTTCAACTTTGTACTTGTTTGGCTTTGTTACTATTTTGATCTGAACGTCACTGATGAGTCTTATGTAGACGAAACACACGTCTGGCGTATTAAATTATAATCCTGGTACCTTTGATAACTAATTTGACTATAAACATAGATAAAAAAGGTACAAACTGGACATAATGCACTAGTTCATAAACAAGTGAGAACAATCGCCTTCATATAGTGCTCAGAATATGACATTCATAAAACTTATTCAATATCATTAGAGAACTCTAAATCTTAAATACTGAAAGCCACCTCTGATAAGTACACTGTACTATGCAAGATAATGATATAACTGGACTTAAAATACACACAACCTGTAATTAACTGCCTTTACAGCGCTTTCGTGCTTTGATTATAAATTTTAGATTTTACGTTTCCGATTTATTGGTTTTTATTTATAAAAAAAGGGAGGATTTCCAGTTTTCGGACAATGACTCAAAAACGCTTTAAGCAGTTTTCATGAAACTTTGGTGACTGGTTTATATTTATTAGAATAAGCTCCCTTTAGTTTTTTTTTTATTAATTTCTGATATGACATTGAGGAGTTTTGGAACTTTATTCGTTTAAAAAGCGACAGGCGTATCATGCACTCATGGCGCAGCTCCTTATTTCTGAAGTTTTACCAAGCAGATAGAGTACTTTGGAACACTTTATTTTGTTTATGATCATAAGGATCAGTAGGATATAAGATTCATGAATTCATATTGGTTCAGATTTCTGTGCATTTCTCATTATAAATTTGATTGCCATTTTCTGCAAATTATATACCTCCCAACTTACAAGATTTTGGCTTGCACTACATGATATTGACCCCTTCTATCTCAATTGCATGATCCTGAAAGTCAGTTATAGTCTTAAACATGATTTTGGAAAATTTGCACAAAAATCGTGTTGGTTCCCAATTTTGACCTCCCTATATTGTTAAGAATGTCAGAAATTGTTAAAATGGTCAGAAATTGGTTAAAACTATATAATGTTAAGACGTAACGGATTATGAGCAGTCATGTGATTTCATGTAAGGGATGGTTACAAGCATATATAGGTCTGAACTTCTTAAAGTTTTCTCTTAGGGTTTGTTGAAACATTTCAACTTTTTATCACTCCATCATCATATCACTGACTAAAATTCTTCCCCCTACAGCGAGATCATGGTTGTATACATTGAGCATTATGTGACTAATTAAATGAAATGTACTCTTGAATTTGAAAAAAAAAATAATCACATACTAGAACTAAATAATTTTGGAAAAAGATAAATTAACAAAAATATTACTTGTGCTGTTAGTCGCTCCATTTATTGAGTTGATAAAGTGGACTCGTACACTGTATAGTTCAATACAAATCTAAGAAATAAACATAACTACGCTGAAGTTTGTTTATTTCATTCTATTATTTTTTTGATCATTGAATGCCATATCAGTCTTTCAGGGTATAAATATGCATTTCAAATAAATAAATAGATTTGATATGTATTCAGAAATGCCATGCCTTGTTTGTCAGATAGGAATAGAAGATATACAGTTTACTGAAAGAGACAGCAACTAATAACTTTAAAAAAAAATACAACAGAAAAGGCAATTAGAGGTCAGCGTAGGGTCTTCAACGATACATAGTCCTGAACATGCATGAAATATTTGCTACTGGATGTCAAGCAACCAACAATCAATCAATTCAACAATACATATTATTATAATGCATGTTTAAATAAAGTAGTCTTTTTGTTTGAATGGTATAACATACATATGTTTAAAGTTTAGAAAGTCACAACACTTATATAGGGAAAAATAGTACTATGACATTTTCCCAGCATTAGGTTGGCATTTTGTGTACCCAAGGCAGGTGAAGGAAGTCAACTTAGGAGCGCTGTGATTGGATGTAAGGGTACAATATATTTTTTTATTTATCTATGAATAACTGCATTGTGTATATTTACAATATAAATTTTGAAACCCATTGAAATATTTTCTAGAGAATTATTCGAAAAGACTTCCAAAATTTCATAAATTTGGTGTAAAATGACGGTGAGCATGGATAACATAAACAAGCTCCATTGGAAGTTGGTCATGATACTATTTGGCTTCAATTTTTAAAACCGAATAATAAAGTACTAACACCACACATAACTGTTTTATCCGGGTTTTTATTATAAAAAGTGTAAAATTTAGAAAATGTTAGTATTGTCGCCTATGGCAGAATAAATAGTACCGTTTTCCCTATATATATATGTAGATAAACACTAAAATCTGGTATGATGAATGTAAAAATTAAAAATTAAAATAGAATAATTCAACTTCAACTCTACAGTTTTTGGTCCCT